GGTTCTTGGAATGATGAAGTTGACTCGATAATGAATTTCAACTTAACGAAAAGCAGGGATGGAGTCCAAAATGGACTCGAATAAATGTCACATGCGGCAAAACAAACGGAAATAAAGAAAGTATGAGTAAGAGTTTTATGACTATCAAAGTTATTAATAAACAATCTGCGGTCAATATTAATAAATGACAATATCTATGCATTAATTCATAATTTCTTGACATATGTGACAGTAGACCATAGAGGTAGATATGCTTAGATATGATGAATTAACATTAATTAATTAACAAGCTTCTTCATCTTAACAAAATAAAATAATTAACTTAATTATAAATTAATTAACTCAAAACATACACCATAACTTAAACTAAACTAATTAACCAAATATTTAACAAAATCTTTTTGAGACGATTTTTGAATATTCATAAAATACACTAATTATATACATATCTTAAATCCGTTTTTTGTTGTATAATATTACACCAAAAAAATTGAAACTAGAATTGTTGGGGGCACTCAATGAAGAGAACCCCTCCAAAAATTGGCGTATGTCATTGATTGCAGGAAGATCACAATATTCTTTAGTAAAAGGCAAAAGAATAGTTGCACAATAGAAAATAAAATTTTAAAAGGGTATGACGGTGCACTAAGCTCTCGTTATGCGAGGGGTCTAGGGAAGGGCTGATCATAATAATGTACTATATGCAATTTTATCTTGCATTTCTGTGAGAGGATGTTTCTGCATCTCAAACCTCTTACCTCCTAATCATATGACAATAGATTGGACAAGTCTTTTGCCTTTCGGAATAGTGAGGGAGGAAAAGAGTTTATTGAAACTGAGTGCAGAAATTGATACTATAGACAATTGGTGTATGCATCAACTCACTTTGTTATTGTACATGATTTTTTTTTTAAACAACTAAATGTCGATGCAAGTAAGCTCGATCTTTGAACAAAATTAAATTTTATAGAATCCATATTAAAATATTTTAAAAAATCAACTTTACTACCAACGGCACATTGTTTAATCAAATTCAATTCTCTCGATTAATACATTCATCTAGAAGGGCCATATATAAAAGTATTTGAATCAATCCAAATAAGACCAAAACAAAAAGACATAGTAAGATAGGAGGATTCTTCTCTTCTTCATTCGGGACGAAACTCCACTCCTTGAACAATGAGGCCACCTTTTGCTTCGAGACGTTGAGTCTCCATTAATCGCGCATCAACATCTCCGTCTTCTCCTGCATCATTGAAAAAGTCGCCCATTTTTAATTCCATCCATCCATCACCTCTTCTAAAGGGTAGTGTCTCTCTAGATCCTCGTCCTGCAAAATGTACAACACTAGCTCGTTGTTCCGCTTCTTTTACACTCATAGAATCAACAAATCTAACAACTGCATTAACGGTTTCAAGGCCATGGAATTTATCTTCCAATTTGAACACTAGATAAGCAACATATTTGGTTCTTTTTGATAGTCTTCGAGTTTCAATTTTGCCTCGAATATCAAGCCAACAAACCCACTTGAGTTTAGCCACTTCCCCGAATCTACAAAAAAATTCACTTTTATCAATAATTATGACTAATTCCTTTCAAATTTTATACTAGTACATAGAAAGATAAGATACCACAAATATATAAAACCTGGAGTCAGAGTGAGGTAACCATTCCCAATAGTCTGGTGTATTACTCCATTCAATATCAAGTCCTCTTGCTGCTATCATGAAACATTTCTTTCCCGTCTTCTTATCTCGTGAAAAACTCTATTTGACATATCAAATCACAAACATAAGACATTATAAATTATAAAACAATTTGAAAAAGGTCTTATAGACCACTTAATATCCCTTATGAATGGGCCAGGCTAGTAACGGGTCTGGCATATTCTTATGGTGTATGATTGGGCTCAGCACATGCCAATCCAACTCACTTGACATGACTAGCTACAACTGGCCGCGTATTATACCATATATAAAACACATCAATAGCCATGAGGGTCATTTTCATTGTACAATTAGTCAGACTTATTTGTATTCGTGCCAATAATTAACTACATGTTTGGTGGCCTGGTTCTAGGCTCAGGCCACCTAACAACCCTTATGAATGGGGAAGGCTAGTCATGAATTCAAATTATAAAAGAAACAATACCATTTTCCCTTCATCAATAAGAATTGGAGATTCAGCGTCCATGCCCCGATCGCCATCGTCATCAGATTTAATATGTAATAATGACATTAGTTCGTCAACAACCTTTTTGATGCAATCTGCCTCATCCCTAAATGTTACAATAAAAAGAACAATTATTTAGATCGAAATTTAGAAATCGAACTTTTTTCTATCTCAATTTATGTGACATCATTTGATTTGGCATAAAATTTAAGAAAGAAAAGAACAAAATTTGAAATTTATGATCTAAAAAGAACCTTAAACACTTGTGTGGAGTTGTAAATGATCATTTGATTAAGGGTACAAAAGAAAATTTAAAGTTAAATTCCTTCTATTAATATAAAAGTGATATTTTTTTTGAATGGATTATGTCACATAAGGCATAAAGAGAATACAAGATTATAGAATTTATATTTAGGGTATACTCTCTTTATGATATTATATATACCTTATTTTATTAATTTTAATTATTTTTGCACAACAATAAAAACACTATGTTTCTTGAATCACCCAAGAAGGCAAAGCTCGAAAAATACTATTCCTTATATATATTCTAATTTAAGTTTGCATACGGATATACGATATGAAGTCATGATTTCAAATCAATATTTGAATATGAGATTTTGAGATTAGAATCTGAAATCATTCTCCAAAAACATGGATTTGGAATCTCAAAGCATGTTTTTTTTATATGGAGAATTTGGGATTCCAAATCACATGCCCAAACATTGATTTGAAATCAGGACTTCATATGGCATGTCTAAACCCTAGCTAAGTGTCTTACTTTCCTTTTTGATTTGTCCATAAGAGATTCTCTTTCTATATTTAGTGTGTTTTTCAATTCCAACAATCTACACGACAAGTTTAAAACCACAAAATTTCTCTTTATTTTTTTAAAAAATTCCGTGTCCAATCAAATTAAGAGATCTATATTGTGACGGAGGGGGAGTAAAAAGAAAAAGAAAAAGAAAAATAATCTTACTTGTAATTTTGCAAATGGTGCCCTACTATTTTCCCAGACTCAGCAAATGCATCCCGCCATCTTTGAATTTTCTCCATATCATCTTTATATTTTTCCTCATGTTGGGAAAAAGACTCAGCAAAAGTTTGAGTTTGATGACGCACATCTGATGGATCCACATTAAAGAAAATAGGAATTACGATTTGATCCAATTCCTTTCGACACTTTATAATGTGTGCAAGCTCGTCTAAACACCATTTTGACGATGCATAGCTTTCAGAAAATATCACTATAGCAAATTTAGACTCTTCTATGGCTTTTGGTAGTTCATCAGAAATTGATTTTCCAGTTTTTAGACGTTCATCGTCTTTGAAAACATTAATTCCTCCTTGTATTAAAGCGTTATAGAGATGACTCACAAATGTTCTACGTGTATCTTCACCTCTAAAACTCATAAAAGCATCGTACTTTTGAATTTTGGAAGAAGAAGTGTTTGACATTGTTGAAGAGTATTAGTTACAATTGCTAAAAACTAATAGGGAAATTCTCAACTTAATGAAGAACAGCAACTTCACCTAATTTTTTCACTATTTATTCATAGTCTTTATGGTCTTATCATGTTTCTATAATTCTATTTCAAAGTCATGAAAATGTAACCTACTTTTTCATTAGTGAGGTCGTACAAAATACAGGTAAGAAGACTTTTGACTTGGCCCTTGGCCAAAAAAGCCAAGAAAAGTCTTGAGGTGTCGGTGGAGTGTATTAGCAAAAATAATGCATGCATTAACTTTGTGTATTAATAGAATCTTGTTTGCACACATTAGTTATACACTTTATTGTGTATGAAAGAGTGTATTACTAATATCATTGATTTCTAGGTATTAGTAACACAAAGAGATTCAATACATGTATTAGTATGGTTAAAACCTCAATTACCCCTCAAAACCCTTTTTTACATCTTTTCCATCATAATTGTGGAGGATATTTTTATAAATGAATTTTTTTATGCAATTCATGTTATTTTTTATACACCAAACCAAACAATGCATAAAAAAATAATTTATGTATAGTTAATACAAGCATAACTAATACACTCTATTTAACATTATTTTTATACACCCTATCAAACGACCTCTAAGTGTCGTCGTGTATTAGATCTCTTACAATTAAGTAATACCATATGTTTGATACTCCCTCCGTTCCTTTTTAGTTATAACGTTGCGTTTTTCGAAAGTTAATTTGACTAATTTTCAAAATTCAATTAGATTATATTAATTCGATACTTTAAACTAAAAGTTTAGATATTCTAGAACTATACGAAAAGTACTATAAATTGCAATTTTTGGCTACATTGTAAAATGTTTGTCAAAGTTCTTATCGTTCAGTCAAAGTTCTTATCCTTTGAGTTTAAAAAAGAAAACCACGACAACTAACACTACAAAAAAACACCTAAATCGTGGGGGTTTCAAAGCGGAGGTTAGCTGAAACCCCCACAAATTACATTAAATAACGGGGGTTTGGTAGCTGACGCAAAATAAAAGTAAACATCGAGGATTTAAAACCCCCAGAAAAAAATTTAAGTAAATACCGGAGGTTTAAACACCTGCTATCTCCAAATACAATTTTTATTTTAAACTATAACATATATATTTTTAATTCATGAAATAAAAAACACTCACAGCTTTTGGAAATAGGTAATTTAATAAATAGCTATTTTTAATTTAATTACAAAATACAAAATAATCACAGCTTTTGAAACTTCACTCCTTCCAAATTACTCTCACTGTCACACTTCTCTCACCGCCACACTTCTCTACAACGACACTTCTCCGCCGTCTACAGCGGCACTTCTCCGCCGTCTACAGCTGCACGTCTCCTCACAACTCTGTAAACTTCAGCTACTCACTAGATTCAAAATGGGATAGGTGTTCTAAGGTAATGTTTTCCACTTCTCACCTCTTTGAATAATGAACCCACCTCACATTTTTGGATTTTCTCATCTGAATCTTCACAAATTGTACAAATTACTGGTTGTATTTACTAGATAAGTTTGTTTTTTTGGCTGTTTGTATAGATGCATGGAGGTAGAATTAGGTTAATTTTGTTGTATTCTTCATGGATGAAAAATTCGAAATATCAAATTTGAGCATGTATTTTGTGGTAGAATTATGTTTATTTTGTTATAATTTTGGTGATTCTACAGATTCTTCGAGACATTCTGTGTCTACAGATTTTTTGGGGACACTTTGTCTCAAATGGTGTCGCTAACAGGTGCCTTGTTTCTTCGTAAAATTTGGAGTTGTTGTCTCCGTCGATCCTTGTTTATGCTGGAGTAAGGTGTATATAGTTTCCCCTTTTGTTTGTTAATTAATTCTTCTTTAGTTGTTACATGTGCCCTCAATCTTCACTTATCTCTGTATACTTGTATGCATACATTATATAAACAAATGTATAATCTTATAGAAACAGACTTCCTCTGTACAAAAACATCCCATTTTGGACCAAAGTGTGTCCTCCATTGTTCCTGTATTGTTTATATAAACAAATGTATAATCTTATAGAAAATGTTCCTTTGTTTAATTTATCAGGTCCGATCCCTCTCCAATATTTGGAACTGGAATTAACGGGAGAGCTTCTAGATCTTCAGGGATAAAGAAAGTTGAGGTACTCTTTCATTTGCTTAGATCAATATATATTTTTCAGTGGTTAGGCCTCTAAGGAAATTGTTGAGGCCTCAAGTTCATCTGATGCTTATAGGTGATATTGTCTGCTAATCTTGTTTTTTCAATGGATAAATCTTGGATTCGAATGCCAAGGACCACAAAAGAATATTTGGTTGGCTTGAATCAGTTCCTAGAATTTGCATTTAAAAATGGAGCTATAGAAGATAGAATAAAATGCCCGTGTCCTCAATGTTGTTTTGGAAAATGGCAGACTAGAGCTGTAGTGTTTGATCATTTGATTTGCAAGCCGTTTCCTCAAAATTATGTCATTTGGGTTATGCATGGGGAAACAACTGTGTTGCAAAATTCTGAAAGCAGAGAGGCTACTCAGGATACACAGCCTCCAAAAAATCCCGTAGAATTATTGATTAATGAAGCATTTCATGGGTTTATGCGAGAGAGCGTTGATGTAGGTCCATCGCAAGTAGTGGCAGAAGAAGAGATATTAAATGATATGCCCACTTCATATGACAAAGACTTTTTTGAGTTGCTTAAAGATGGAAGGGAAGAACTGTATGAAGGGTCTAAGTACTCAAAATTAGAGTTTTTGTTAAAATTATATCACATAAAGTGTTTGTCTGGTCTAAGTGACAAAGGAATGACTATGATACTGGATCTACTCAGGGATGCCTTTAAATTTGCAAAGATCCCTGATTCTTTTTATGAGGCCAAGAAAACTATCAACAAGCTATGTCTTGATTATGTTAAGATTGATGCTTGTCCAAACGATTGCATGTTGTATTGGGGAGATGATGTTAATGAGGAAACATGCAAGCATTGTCACACTTCTAGATGGAAGCTTGATAAGAAGAATACAAACAGTAAAGTGGCTGCTACGGGTAAGAAAAAAAAAAGGCCTGCAAAAATTTTGCGTTACTTCCCATTAAAGCCAAGATTACAAAGATTGTTCATGTGCTCTAAGATGGCAGAACATATGAGGTGGCATGCGGAGGGTGGTAACAAAGATGGAATCATAAGGCATCCTAGAGATGGTGAGGCATGGAAGAGATTTGATACAACTCATCCTGAATTTGCTTTTGATTCTCGAAATGTTCGGTTAGGGCTAGCTAGTGATGGTTTCAATCCCTTTGGAGCGATGAGTACTAATTATAGCATTTGGCCTGTAATTTTGGTTCCATATAACCTTCCACCTTGGTTGTGCATGAAACAACCAAGTTCTATTCTATCAATGATCATTCCAGGTCCACAGATGGCGGGAAATAACATAGATGTATACCTACAACCTCTTATTAAGGAGTTAAATGAGTTGTGGAGTGAAGGTGTAGAGACTTTTGATTCATCAAAGAATGAAATGTTCAGAATGCGGGCAGCTCTTATGTGGACAATTAGTGATTTTCCGGGCCTCGGTATCTTATCTGGTTGGAACACATATACCGGTTTTGCATGTCCATCTTGTAATTTTGACATGGAACCTTGTCGACTTCATCATAGTAAAAAGTGGTGCTTTGTTGGTCATCGTCGATTTTTGGCAAGAAATCACAAATTCAGATTAATGAAGAATCATTTTGATGGAACTGTAGAAGAAAGAAACCCCCCAAAAAAGTTATCTGGATCAGATATTTTGCAACAAGTGACAAATATTGATGTTACATTTGGAAGACAAGCAAAGTTGAATGATAAAAGAAAAAGAAAAAGAATAAACAATAGACAAAGCAGTGTGGGTGAAGGTTTAACTCAACAGTGGAAGAAAAAAAGCATATTCTTCAATCTTCCTTATTGGGAATCCAACTTGTTGCATCATAATTTAGATGTTATGCATATTGAGAAAAATGTTTTTGACAATATTGTATACACTTTGTTAAATGATAAAGAAAAGTCAAAGGATAATATTAAAGCTCGAAAAGATCTACAAGATATGGATATAAGGCAAGACCTTTGGCCAGATGAGAATGATGATTTTCGGCTTGGTGCATTTACAATTCCAAAGGATAAGAAAGTGACCTTCCTTACAACTTTAAAGAATATCTCAATGCCCGATGGTTATTCAAGTAATATATCTCGTTGTATACATCTAGAATCAAAGAGGATCTTTGGATTAAAAAGTCATGATTGTCACATCATTATGGAACAATTACTGCCGATAGCAATTCGCAATGTGCTTCCGAATCAAGTTGTTGCAGTTTTGGTAGAGTTCTGTTCCTTTTTTAGACACATTTGTCTGAAAAACTTGAGCCTCATGGACCTAGAAAAGCTACAAAAACGGATTGTTACCACTCTTTGCCACCTAGAGATGTTGTTCCCTCCATCCTTTTTTACTGTAATGGTTCATTTAACTGTCCATTTAGTGGACGAAGTAATACAAGGTGGTCCAGTACATTATCGATGGATGTATTTTGTTGAAAGGTAAAATATCTTATTCAAAAATAACTTTATTTCAAAATAAATGCTTGTTCTAATACTATGTAATTTTAATTATAGATTGTTAGGTCATTTCAAGTCCCTTATAGGGAATAAATCACAGGCAGAAGGATGTATAGCTGAAGGTCACAAAATTGAAGAAGTTCTAACTCTTTTTTCTCGTTATTTTGAGGATATCGAGTCGAGGATAAATAGGCCTAAACGAGTAAATGATGAATCAAATCGTAATAAGGTTTCTGAAATGTCATCTATGTTCCCTCGACAAGGTAAAGTTGTCGGAGGCTTCATAACATTTCCTTTGACTCATTTGGAGAAAACTCAAGCTCATCGATATGTATTACTCAATTGCGCTTCAGCAAAGCCATTTATTGAGTAAGTAATTTAAATAAGCTTGATCTATTAAAAACACATTAATAAAAGGATTGTTGATTGATTTCCTTTGTAGTGAATTCAGGCAACACATTAAAAGGAGTTCAAGAGGCAGAAAACCTTCAGTAACAGAGGTAGAAAAGAGAATTAATAGAGAGTTTGCTGATTGGTTTCCTAAGCGGGTGAGTGATTTAAATTAGAATGATACTTTTGCATAGGATTTCTAATTCAATTTAGAATATCTGACGAAAATATTTTTCTTATTTAGATAATGAATCAAGATATAGCAGACACAATCTCTGATGAAATAAAGTTTTTAGCACAAGGTCCAGCGCCATATGCAAGAAGATTCACTGCTTATAACATTAATGGGTTCAAATTTCGAACTTTGTCTAGAGAACAAGGATTGGAAACTCAAAATAGTGGAGTTTTTCTTATGTCTGACACTTCTTGCATTGCATCTAGTGCTGATAGAAATGCAAGACAAGCAGATTTGCCATATTATGGGAAGTTGGAAGATATTATTGAGCTTAACTATTATGGAAAGTTCAGGGTTGTGCTTTTCAAATGCAAGTGGGCTGACACTACTCGAGATAGAGGGTTTAAAAGAGATGTTTGGAATTTTAATTGTGTCAATTTTTCTAAATTGATTCACACCGGTGATCGTGAGGATGATGATCCTTATATTGAAGCATCACAAGCAAATATGGTCTACTATGTTGATGATGAAACTGATAAAGAATGGAGTGTAGCTATACATTTACAACCAAGAGATGTGTTTGACATGGGGCAAGTTGATGAAGAAGAAATATTTGAGAATGAGCCATACCAACAACAAGAATTTGAAATTTTTTTTGATCTTGATTATGGAAATATCCAAATCTCAACAGAGGAGCATATGTCTGAACACACATAGCATGCGTTTTAGTTTTTATAAAAAGGAATGGAGGAGTAGCTGACTAGCTAGGAGATAAGTTTTTCTTACTCATCTCCTAGCTGGTCATAATACCTACATAAATTCTCCCGTAGCTAATTCATGTATTATTAATACCTACATAAACTCTCTCGTAGCTAATTCATGTATTATTAATATCTGCATAACTCTAATCAACTATCAAACGACTCTCGCTACTTAAAAGACTTTATTGCCTTGTGGTTATTGGCTCTGCAACATCAGTTCTTCGAAATTTCCAATAACTTCAGGGTCGTTCAGTAAAAAGTATCAGAGAAATTGGTAGGCCTTGATTTAATATAGAAAAAAGTTAGAAACTAAACTAAATATATAGTATTATTCAATAACAAAATATTATGGTATACTATGTGTTAGCTGCAATCTGATAAGATTATTAATTAATTACTCTAAGTTGTTATGACATTGAAAGAATTAAGAATGTTTGATATTTTCCACCAAATTTGAGGATGGAATTTTTCTAGTACTATTTAATTGGTAGGCCTAGTACTAGGAATGGTTTGTTCAATATGGGCCAATTAATTGGAGTTGTGTATCCAATGTCAATGTAAAAGTTTGAAGATGACCATATTAATATTTAATTAGGACCACTCTTTTAAATGAACTTTAAATTATGTATACTTATACAGTTAAAACTATTGTTGTACGCGTATATTCACCTTTAAAACTCAGAAAAGCATCGTAAAGACTATGATAGTCTTTATGGGAACTTCTTATCATCTTCTTATTTCAAGTCATAAAATATGATATTACTAGTGCGAGATCTAATACATGCACAATGACACTAGGCGGGCACCCTCCCACGTCCCATGTATAATGCCCACCTACGCCATCAGATAAAATTTCTCTACTTATTTATAATCTCTTTAAATTGAATATTTTCTCTGCTTATGTATTGAAGTGTTTGTTGTTTCAAGAATATTACTACTCTTTAGATAAAATATGAAAAAAAATAATTAATTTTATCTTGAACTTTTAAAATGACAAAAAACTTGAGATAATTATTTTAAAAAAATCACGACAGATAATTTGAGATGGAAAGATCGTAGTATTTAAGCTTTGATTTGTTTTAATTTACTTGGAAAGAAATAGATACTCATAATGTTGTTATACTCTCTTCTAAAACAAAAATGTAGCGCCTCTTTTGGACGGTAAAAAAAGTAAAAGTTGTAGAATCATATTAAAATGTTTGAAGAGAGAGAGTTGTTCGGATGGTAAGTACCCCTCAATATCAAAATGAGACCAAAACAAAAGGGCATAGTTAGAGGAGGATTGTTCTCTTTTTCATTCGGGACGAAACTCCACTCCTTGAACAATGAGGCCTTTTTTTTCATTGAGTTTCTTAGTTTCCATTAATCGCGCATCAACATATCCGTCTTCTCCCGCATCATTGAAAAAGTCTCCCATTTTTAATTCCATCCATCCATCAGCTCTTTTGAAGGGTAGCGTTTCTCTAGGTCCTCGTCCTGCAAAATGCACAACACTAGCTTGTTTCTCCGCATCTTTTTTACTTACAGAATCAACAAATCTAACAACTGCATTAACAGTTTCAAGGCCATAGAATT